ATCATCATCATAATATTTTTTCTTAGACACTCCACATGGTTTACTGTTATAAATTATTATTTTACTTTATTTTTATTTAGGATTTTGCAAATATGAGTTTGATTATAACGGAATTATCATTGCAACACCTGAACCAGTTTTTAATAATGAATTTTGTGATAATAAAAGAACGTCAGATACTTTAGATTGGAGAGAGAAACGAGACATGCCTTATAATAAACCAATAGAAATGTATGCACTAGACTACTTTAACAGAAATTTTCATGATTGCAACGATGCTGTTTTTGTTCCTTTATCTTCCACTGATAAAAATACTTGTTATTTTGTTGCTTTAAAATTTTTTGATTTGTTTGCCAGTAAAAAAGGTATTCGTGCTGTTTTGCTTGGTTACCCTTTACGCGAGCATGCATCTTTATTTTATAAAACTGAAAAAATTAAAATTTGTGGAGATGAAAATAGAATAGTGATTTTTTATTTTGAACTTAACCTTGTTCTTATTGCTCGCATTGCACATTCAAAAGATTGCATCAAAGTGGAATCTGAAAATTGTTTAAATGATATCAAATTATTTGTTATTGTTAACAAACCTCTCGCTGAAAATAAAGCATTAATTATAATAGGAATTGTGGTTGTACCTTTATTTGAGCGCAAATTAATAAAAAAAGAATTATTCGTTCAATTCCCAGATAATTTTGATTTAAAACAAATTTTAATATTATGTAAAGATGACATTGAAAATGAAAGAAATTTTTTAGATTGGTGGAGATCAATTGCTGAATACTGTAAAAAATACTTAAAAAAATGCGAGGAGAATAAAGAAGAGTTTTTTAAACAACTTATAGGATTAACTATAATGTATATGGCTGAAGTTGACCATTGTTTACCCACATTAGAGTCCAATCCACAAAAACAAATCACAACGTTACTTCTAAACTATGAACAATTAAAAGCAATCTATGATTATGAACTTAAAAAAATTATTACTGGAGGGTATGGTTCAGGAAAATCTATTGTTGGGAAGGAGATTGTCAAAAATTGTTTAAGGAAAAAGACAGAAATTCCTATTACTCTATATTATATATGCTGCAATTATTTTTCTTTGTTTGAATTTGATATGAAAGTGTTTGTTAAAAAAATTAAGAAAGCCTCTAATGTTGATGTTATTTGTAATAATTTGTATGAGTTATGGGAAGAAATGTGCAAAACTAAAAATATTTCTGAAAAAAAAGTTTTTCTTCCAACATTACTAGAATATTTGGCTTCTAAAAAGAACGAAGTAAATTTTGTATTAGAGGAAATGTCTTGTGAACTTGTTACAAATGAAGTGGCAATTGAATTAAATAAGCTATTTTTATCTGTTTTAAAAAACTCTTTAATTGTTTTTATACCTGAAAGTGTTGAGAAAAATCGAGAATTGATTATAGAAGGTGAAATAAATTCAATAGAAAATAATTGTTTCATCGAAAATAAATTAAACATGAAGGTCATAACTCTCCAGAAGCTAATGAGATCAACAGAGTGCAATACTTTATTAATAGGCTTTACTCAAGAGTTAATTTCTAAATCTAAATCTATTTTAAGTCTTCCAAACTTAGACAAGAACATAGCATTAGAAAAAAATACAGAATATAAGTTGCTTGAAAGTAAAGATTTAACACATGGTTATACAGTTAATTCTAAAGAAGACAATGAGAGTAAATCGAAATTAAAAGGTGGTGAAACAGTTGAAGACAGCTTCAAAATTACTGGTGACAAGTTTGATGATATAGATTTAGGACTTGGAAGTACCTCCACTTCAGATTTATCGAAGTCTGAATCTGTTACAAGCTTTTTAAATTTAGACAAAAACATAACATCAGAAGAAAATGCAAAGTATAAATTGCTTGAAAGTAAAGATCCAACCCATAATTATACAGATAATTCTAAAGAAGATGATGCTAGTAAATCTAAACTAAAAGATGGTAAAACAGCTAATAATAATTTTGAACTAACTGGTAATAAATTTTTAGATACTGATTTAGATCATATGTTAAAGAATGTATCAGGCAGAAATTATGATTTAGATCCAAATACTCATGTGAAAACCAGTTATGGTTTTAAAACAGGTACAATAGGGCACTCAATTAAAGGAGAAAAACCCAAGGTAATATTTTTACCTTTTCATGATATCACAGAAATAAATTCTGTAAAGATTTTATCCATTGTTTTTAGGGTTCTTTGTTTTAATGAATTACGAAAAACTGTTGTTTTATGCAGCCATTTAGATGAAGTGGCATCAGTTGCATATGCAATAAAAACAATTGAAAATTATGAAGCAGTAATTTATTCACCCCATATGCAAAAATATATACCAACTTATAAGGAAAAGTCTCATGTTAGAAAAAAATTAAAAAAAACAGGCTATAACATTCTTGTAACTGACTGTAAAGGATTCTCTGGAGCTGAATCTGAATCTGTAATTGTGCTTGTGAGTCCAGAAGACATTTATCTTCGACACGTTCTTGTAGATGCTATATCAAGGTCTAATTCACACCTAATTGTTTTGGTTTTAGGTTCTAAAGATATTAAAGATAAGAATATGTCTTTACATGAAAATGAAACTATTAAAAGTGTGTTAAATAATTGGTCAGAAAACATGATTCAAAAGATCACAGTTCAAACAAGAAATGATAAACATCAACTATGGGAACTATCAGGTTGCTATTTTTATATAAATGATCAGACTGAAGAATTTTTGAACTGTAAGTTTAAAGAAGATTTTGATAACACTAAGGCAGAACGTTGCTTAAGAATTTTTACTGAAAGTTATTCAATGTAAATATGTTTTACTTTCTTACACTTTATTATTAGAATATATATATATATATATATATATATATATATATATATATATATATATATATATATATATATATATATATATATATATATATATATATATATATATTTATATGTTTGTGTCTATATTTATATCTATATCACAGGTAGTTACTAAAAATCAGACTTACTTTCAAGGGAAATTACTCCCAAAGTTTTCAAGGTAGAGATTTGAAAAAATAATAATTTAATAGAGTTTTTAGTTATTTACTTGTTTTAAAAAAGTTTGTCTTCAACCAGTTTGTTTCTTCGGATTCTGCCAACCCTGAGACGAGTTGACCCAAAAAGTGAAAATACACGGTTAAGGTCAATTTTTTTCTGATAAAGCTTTATTCTGGCTTGTAGTTGCTTCACATCTTTTGCTTGCCTGTTACCCTCATGCACTTTGCCTTTTGAAATAGCTCAAAAGTCTTCGATTGGACGACACTTCGGTACAGCTGGCGGATTGTCAACTTTTTTGACAAAATTGATGTTTTAAGTTTTATAGCAGTTGGTCACAGTTTTGGCATAATGCAATGAGGCCAGGTCAAGCCAAAATACATAATTACCATCAGCATGATGAGTGTTGATAAACCGAACTAATCTTCCTATAACAATTGATTCCATATGGTTTTATTGATTGCTAGGCCCCTGGGGATAAAAAATGGCTTGGAAATAATTTTTGTCAGAAGGGGCTAGTCAGGCGAGCAGCTTGGAATCAAGTTTGCGTTTTTTCACGATATTTAACGCTTGATGGAGTCTTGTCTCTGTCACTAGAGTAATGGGTGCTGTTTATGTTAATTGTTAAGTGCGACAGCATGAAATAAGACAGCGTGAAATAAGTATATTGACAATCTTGCTAAGTATACTGACAACAAAATATCTTGCTAAGTATACTGACAACAAAACTTATATGAAACAGGATATACGTCATAGACAAGAGAACCAGAATTGGTCATTCTTGACAACGAGTCTGACTCATTGTCAAGGATGACCAATTTTCCTTGAAAATCACGATAAAGACGATCAATGCTGGCCTACTAATTTTGGTTCTCTTGTCTATGAGGTATATCCTGTTTCATATAAGTTTTGTTGTCAGTATACTTAGCAAGAATTTTAATGGTATCTGAATGAATGCATCCAAATTTTTGACCGGCTTGCCTCATCAAAACTCAGTCACTGTGGTCATATATGGTTCTCACACGCTTGATCACCTTGGGGTCATGATTTTGGCCACATGATCACTTCTTTGCATTCTTTTGTGTCCAGAACAATTCTTAGCGCATTTGATTATGTCATAGATAGTACTCTTGGAATTTTTCTTCTTGAATTTGTTAACCATCGAAGTGATCTACTTCGAACTTTTTACCTAACAATTTTTGTTCAAATAGAACTTGTTCGTTTTCTTATCTCCTCTCGCTTGGAAATCATTGTTTTTTTAATTTTTATTATCTAAAACAAGTAAATTAATTATAGAGAATTAAATAAGCTTTAAAATGGATACAAAAATGAAACAAAAAAATTTAGCTTGTGGCGTTTAAAAATCAGTTTAAGTTAGTCTAGATTTTTAGTAACCACCATATGTATATATGTGACATACATTTTTAAAATTGTTTAAACACACATACACACACACACACACAAACAAACACACACACACACAAACACACACACAAACAAACACACACACAAACACACACACACACACACATATATATATATATATATATATATATATATATATATATATATATATATATATATATATATATATATATATATATATATATATATATATAATATATATATATATATATATATATATATATATATATATATATGTATATATATATATATATATATATATATATATATATATATATATATATATATATATATATATATATATATATATATATATATATATATATATATATATATATATATATATATTAGGGTGTGTCATAAAATTTTATTTTCTTGTTACAGGCTCTAAACATTGCTAATAGTTATTAATATTGATACTATCAAATATGAGAATGATTGTGATAGATTTAAAGGGCGCAACTTTATTGGGAAAATTACCGGTACCCTAATATTTTGGAGAAAAAAGTAGGTCAACCTAGTACTCAAAAGAAGCGAAATTTTATAAATAATTCGAAAATAATAATCGTTTTATAAAAATCATTGCCGAATTAAATTGTTATTAAAAAACATGTAAAAATGCACCTTTTTCACTTTTAGTTAAAAAACTAAAGTTATAATGCAATTAAATCAAAAATAATAATTTTTATATAAAAAAATTATTATTTTTGAAATTTTTATAAAATTTCGCTTTATTTGAGTACCTACATCACATAATTTTGAAAAACTTTTTTTTTGAATAATAATAGGGTCTGCTAATTTTTTAATTAGTTGCAGGTGGAAGACATTGTTCAATCCATAAAAGTAAATACTTTCCTAAATTAGTACATAAAAAAACAACTTTCTAGACCATAGCCAGGTTAGCAACTCTAAAAAAAAATTTTATGACACACCCTAATATATATATATATGTATATATATATATATATATATATATATATATATATATATATATATATATATATATATATATATATATATATATATATATATATATATATATATATATATATATATATATATATATAATATATGTCCACAGATATTTGTACTGGTAGTAGTACATGAATCCTAAGGAATTACTCATAATTTACGCTATATTTTATATAATTTCTTTTACTTTTAATAATGCAAAGATTATATCCATTGGAATTTTAGAGGTAGCAAATGGAACCAGAAATAATTTAATGGTGAGCACTATAAGAGGAAAATTTAGCAGATGCTAACTTTAGAAGGAATTGTATATATGCTTTTCATAAGAGGTCAGTAGTAAAAGATAATCCAAGTTGGTGTTCTAAGCAATCTTAAACTAGTGATTTTTAATCAAAACTAAATGTATAATTTATAATATCAATACCAAAAATCTGGTATCCCAGAGGTTACTTAACAACAACAACAACAACAACAACAACAACAACAACAAGATATTTATTTTCTTTTTTAAAATTTACATATAATCATATAATAACAATAATAATAATAATATTATCTATAATAATACAAACAATATAGTTATAATAAAATATAACTAATAAGAATAAATATAAATAATAATTTGAAAAGGAAGGTGTCACTCAAACATATTAAAACAAATGTCATTAAAACAAAAGTAAGTCTTAACCATCAAAGACAAGGATAAATCAGTTAATAGACTTTTGATCTCTCAAGTTTTAAAAAATAGAAACCAAGAAAAACAATGTTTAATAAAGCACTTGTTAAATAGTTTATGGGTTATTGAAGAGCAATCTGAAAATACGAGATCTTTATTTATTTTATATTATTTTAGTGTTTTTTTTTTTGTTTTTTTTTTTTGTGTAAGTGTGTGTAACTTTGTGTAAGTATAAGTGTTACACTTTGTGTACCACTTGTGTAAGTGTAAGTGTTACACTTTGTGTAACTCTAAGTGTGTTACACTTTGTTACACTTACAGTTGTAACTGTAAGAGTGTTACACTTACAGTTGTAACTGTAAGTGTGTTACACTTACAGTTACACAAAGCATAACTGTAAGTTACACTTGTGTAACTGTAAGTTACACTTTGTGTAAGTGTTACACTTTGTGTAAGTGTAAGTGTTATTTTTGAGTAAGTGTGTTTGTTTTTGAGTAAGTGTTTGAGTAATTTGTTCTGGTGAAAAAGAATTAAGAAATACTTACAATTTGAAATATGACTGCACAATTAAGAAAAAATCACAGCGTAGGGTGAAATTTGGTATGTTGCCATTGAGAATTAATTCAGGGTATAACTTGGATGGCACAATTTTCTTGTAAAGAATCACTGTTTAAAAGTAGTAGTAAGAAGTCACATTGTCTAAATTTTTTAACTTGCACTTATTAATTAAATCAAAATGCATACAATATATTATGGTTCTACCATATGGTTCATCATAATCCCTTAACTCTGTGTATACATTATATGGAACTATATTGAATTGATTATAGTTTTATGTTGAAAAAAGAAAAAAAACTGACTATCTTTAACACAACTATTTTGCTTTTGTTTTGCTTATAATTTTTTTTCAGATATTATAAAAACTAATTTTTTTAAATTGAAAATGAGTAAAAATATAAAATTCATAAATGAAATAAAAAAGTATAATAGTTTTAAACATTTAAATTTTGAAAATAAAATTTTAATATTAGTTATTTTAATATTTTAAGAAAATTTATATTTTTATGAAGTTATGAGTTTTATAAGAATTTTTTAAAAAGTATTTTACATATAAATAAAACTTATTTTTAATATTTTTAGATAAAAATAAATTTAAAAAGTATTGAATTTTTTGTTTTAAAATTTTCTTGTTATTGTAAACTTTTCTTGTTTTATGTTTGTTGTATTTCTTTAGGTATGATAATGCAGCTTATGAGTTGACCAAATTAGTAAAAACAAAGCATATGAAAGGTGTGTTTTTTTTTGTGGTTATTTTAATGTGTTATAATCTGCACAAATATTCTAAAGAATAATGATCAGCTTTTTAAAATTTTGGAGCTGAGGTCATGCGAAATGAACAAGGGTGCTTTGATGTCGCAGTTTGTTTTCCAACCATTTGAAGCAAAACCTATAGATCTTCAGATACTGTGTAATCTAAGGAAGAAATTTCAATTTATCCAAAACTACCCGATTATAGTATTTTTTGTTCAATAAAAGCAAAAAGGCCAGTATAACAGTTTAGTGTACATTTGAGTCTTTGAAATCTTTGAATGTATATTCAACACTCTTTCTCAACCTATTTGGAATATTATTATCTTTTAACTCTTGTTTTAGGATGATTAATAGAGTAACTTTAAAGAGTCCCTGCCCTCCATCTACACATAATTTGATATCAACGTCATTTGTTTCTTGATGTTTGTGAAGCACCATTGCTGCAAGCTCTTTAACATCATTGCAATACACCATAGGAGTATTTTTTCTACAAACTCAACATGTATAAAAAATCAAAATGAATAATACAGATTGCATCCTAGTTATCTAAAATAATTTTACATAATAGATTATTTCCCTCTTTGTTTTCATTTAGTTCTAATAACAATGGTAATTTATCATCATCAAACAATTTACCAGTCAGCTAGTTGTTCTTAGTCACTTTAATATGGAAACCACACTTTTCCATCCTCCTTCACTCCTCTGTAAGTGTGCTACTTTAATTATATTAAAATTACTTAGAAGTCATAACAAGATTATTTAAAAATTGACTCATAAGTAAATTATAACAAAAAAAATTTAAGCATCAAAACTTTTTCTGGGATATAGTTTTAGTTTTTTTTTTTTTTTTATTTGCATTCACTCCCAACAAGGCTGCAAGCAACCACTATTAAGTTGGGAGTTACTAGGAAAAAAAAGAGCAGCGTTATAGAGCAAGGAAACGGTTGACAGAAGACTTGAAAAGTTGAAGGTTGTATGAGTCAGGAAAACATGAAGATGGGAGAGAGTTCCAAAGAATTGAAGTGCGGGGAAAAAAACTAGATGAATAAAAGTTTTTAGAGCATGCAGGGACAGATACAGTAAACGAATGAGACTTAGCTGAATGACGAGTAAAACGAGAATGAATTTTAGTTGATGGAACTAGAGATAATAACTCCTTTGAGCAGTGACCATGATAGTATCTGTAAAAAAGAGAAAGAGATGCAACTTTACGACGATGGGAAAGAGGTTCAAGCTTAGCAGATAGTCCAAGTCCAACAACATTTACAATGCGTTTTTGGACCTTGTCAAGAAGAGAGAGTGAATCGTTAGAAGAACCAGCCCAAATATGACAACAGTATTCCATACAGGGACGAATAAGAGATTTGTAGAGGTAGAGAATGGAATCAGAAGTAAGTAGATAATCCAAGGAATCAGTAGTAAGCGATAATCCAAGAAGACGTAAAGAGGAGGACTCAGTAAGAGGATTGCCATTCATTAATATAGGAATGTTGACCATATTACGGTAGTTGTTTGCAGTAAGCAATTGGGTTTTTTTAGAGTTGAAATTCACAAGCCACTGTGAACCCCAATCTATTACTGAAGTGAGATCAGATTCAAGATCAGCTGCTTGTTCTAGGCGATCGAAAAGAGAAGACTTTTTGTCAAGACAGGAGTATAAAGTTGAGTCATCAGAGCTACTTTAGATGAAAGGTTGTCAGGAAGATCGTTTATGTAGATAAGAAACAAAACAGGGCCCAGGATGGAACCTTGGGGAACCCCAGAAGTTACTGGAAATAAAGAAGAGTGTTGGCCTTCAAGGATGACTTTAATAAACCGGTCAGAAAGAAATGATTTGATAATCTCAAAAACTTTCCCAGAAACACCATATGAAGCAAGCTTATGGAGAAGACCAGCATGCCAAACTTTGTCGAAAGCTTTAGATATGTCAAGAGCAATAGCCCTAGCCTCACCGCCTCCATCTAATGCACGATAAAATCTTTCAGTTACAGCAGTTAGCAAGTCGGCCGTAGAGCGAGAGGATCGAAAACCGTATTGATTGTCTGACAGCAGTTTATTTGACTCAAGATGAGATGTGAGGAATTTGTTGATCAAAGACTCAAAGACCTTGCTAATAACAGAAAGAAGACTGATTGGACGATAATTGGAGGGGTCAGAATTTTTTCCAGAGTTTTTGAATATTTGAACCACAGATGCCATTTTCCAACAAGCAGGAAAACAAGACTCAGTCAAACACTTGTTAAATGGTTTAGAGAGAATTGAAGAAAGTTCTGGAGAACAATTCTGCAAGACTGTGACAGGAATGTTGTCTGGACCACAAGCTGTAGACGAGTTTAATTGAGATATGACTTTAGCAACAGAAGCCGAAGTGATTTGAATGTCTAACAATGGGTCAACCTGTTTGACTGGAATGGAAGGAACAGAATGTCCATAAGATTCAAGAGTGGAAATAGAAGAAAAGTTCTTTGCAAATAGTTTTGCCTTATCCTTGGGAGAGGTAATAAGATCAGTCCCATGAATGAGAGATGGAATGTTAGATCTACCCTTGTTAACAATGCTGTTGAAGATTTTCCAAAAGTCTTTAGAGCCTAACTTCTGCGATAAGATGCGAGATTTAGTGAACTGAGAATAATGGAGTTTAGCATCAGAAAGCACCTTTTTACATCGATTTCTTGCAATAATAAATAGCCGTTTGTTCTCAAGAGAGTTGTTCTTTTGAAAAAGATAAAAAAAATGATTACGATTGGATATAGCAGCCGCACAAGAAGGAGAAAACCATGGAGTAGAATGAGGCTTGACTTGAAACCGACGAGAAGGAATAAAAGCTTCCATTCCAGCCTGAATCCAGGAGGTTATGTAGGAGGCGCATTTGTCAGCTGAGAGAGAAAAAACATCAGTCCAAGGACCATCACGAAGAAAATCACGAAAGGAATCCCAGTCAGCTTTAGGGTAGTAGTAGGTGGTGCGATGATAAGGTGAGCCCAAAAAAGAAGTACGAGAAGAAAGATTTATAGAGATCATTGCATGGTCAGAAACACCTAAGGAAGAAAAGGAAGAAACTGAACATAAGCTAGGGTCAGAGACAAGGTTTTTTAGGTTTTAAATTTTTGGTTACTTTGGTCATGATTTGGGTTTAATGAGAACTTGACTCATTCATAGATAGAGCACAGCCTCCTAATCAATGAGCTATGCAGTTGTCTCAGTCCTGTTAATTAACCCTAAACCGTGACATAGGGCTCCTTATGTGGCCTTGACAATGCACACCAATAGCATTAACAGAGACACGATCTATGCGCAACATGGCACTGTTAATACTCTGATATTTTGCAGCTGTTGATGGAATCAGCCTCTCTGAGAGCTACCACAGAGTTCGGGAAACCTTACTACCAGCCGGCCTCAGAACCATTAAACTGAGTTTTAGAGCTGTACCCTCATATGGAGATAACAGAAAGAGTTGCATAGCCATTATCAAGGAGGCATAAGCAAAATTCTATGAGTAGAGTCAAGGAGGTCCAGCATTCATCATCCTAGGCAGGAAACAATGTAACACAGGTTACATCTACGCCAGCCTAATAGATGAAGAAGGGGTTCGAGGCTGGTTAGCAGAATTTTTCTGCTTACCCCTAAAGTCTTTGCCTAGGAGGCCTTCTACAAGACAGTAGCTGGATGCAGTTAACATCTGCCCAAGATGAGTATTTTTATCGAGTCACCATCTCTAGCCTTTACTCAACCAAGAGCCCCAAGGCAGGGGATTTTTAGCTGGATGCAGTTAACATCTGCCCAAGATGAGTGTTTTTATCGAGACACCATCTCTAGCCTTTACTCAACCAAGAGCCCCAAGGCAGGGGAATTTTTAGTCTGAGTTTATTTCTCCTAGCCTTTGCATAAGAAGAGCACACTCTGCAAGGCAGCAGGGCTTGTGGCAGGTGGTACTGGGTTACGTGATACCAGTAGCAAGATTGATCTCGATTATCCTGACCTGACCTGGAGTAGTTAAAAGGAGTTACTTCCCGCAACAGTACCAGTACCAACAAAACCAGGCATGACATTTTGGAAGTGCATTAGGAAAAACACTGCATCTAACAAAATACAGGAGTCTAAGGTGAGTGTACGTTTTGCGGTTGGAGTAAGTAGTTAGTTACTGAGCTCACGCTGCATTAGAGTATAAACAGAACACAAACAAACATAAATCAACTTACGGGTGAGTCAACACCGCGCCAGAGGTTCAGACAGAACACAAACATGCATAAAAAACATAAAGTAACTTACTGGTGAGCGAACACTGCGCCAGAGGTTCAGACAGAACACAAACATACATAAAAAAACATAAAATACATAAACATAAACATAAAATAACTTACGGGTGAGCAAACACCGCACCAGAGGTTCAGACAGAACACAGACATACATAAAGAACATAAAGTAACTTACAGGTGAGCGAACACCGCGCCAGAGGTTCAGACAGAACACAGACATACATAAAGAACATAAAGTAACTTACAGGTGAGCGAACACCGCGCCAGAGGTTCAGACAGAACACAAACATACATGTAACGTAGATTACAGGTGAGCTAATACAGTAACTAAGGCACCTCCAACTATATGGGAAAAAAAAAAAAAAAAAAAAAAAAAAAATTACTATAGGCATGACTGATATAAGATAGTACTGAAGACAGGAAGAACACTCCTTCCAACCTTTGCTTAGATAGCAAATCCTGCAAGGCAGCAGAACATGGAACAGGTTGCACTGGGTTACATGTTACCAGTAGCAGGATAATCATGAAGCCCATACTCCTGACCTGACACTTAGCTATCAAAAATTTGTTTAAATCAATATAGTTGAAGTTTGTTTAATTAATCCAAAGAAAAGAAAGGTTTCTGAAAGGTTTGAGTAGTCTTTTTTCTTTTTATTTAGGTTTACATTATTTAGTTCATTTCATTATTATGCTTAATTAATATGCTTCCTGCTTATGAAGGGGTATTGGAAATTGCTGTTCACAGGCAGTTGTCAAGTTATTTTCAAAGTAATAATATTTTTTATAATAATCAATTTGGTTTCAGAAAAAATAGATCGGCTGAATCAGCTATTCAACTACTACTTTCTAAATGGAGAACATCTTTGAACAACAATAAATTTGTTGTAACAGTAATGCTAGATCTTAAAAGGGCATTTAAAACAGTTAATAGAAAGATTCTTATACAAAAATTACAAGGTTATAAAGTTAAAGGTTCAGTTCCCAATTGGATTGCAGACTAGATGAGAACTCAAGTAGTCAAAATAAAAGGTGAAGAATCTGGCGAACTAGTTTGTGAAATCGGGGTTCCACAGGGTAGTATACTTGGACCTCTTTTGTTTATCATTTACATGAGCGATATTGCATCAAAAATTGAGTATTCTTTTATAAATTTGTTTCCTGATGATACATAGGTTTGTATTGAGGGCACAAACTTCGAAGAAACTATTTTTAAATTAAATCAAGACTTAAAAATGCTTTTTAAATGGCTAAGTAATAACAAACTTAAATTAAATACTCTTAAGTCCATGGCAATGCTTATTCTTAATTCAAAAAAAAGAAAAAATAGTTTAATAAATCATAACAATAACATAAAAGTGATATTGGATGATGTGGTCATTGAATTTAGTGATATCGTGAAATATCTAGGGATTATTATTGATTACTAAGTTAATTTTACTGAACATATCAAATATATCTCTATTAAAATTTCAAAGAAAACTGGATATCTTGGTAGAATAAGCGAACACTTAACTCAGTGGACCAAAAAGATAATCTTTCAAACTATAATTGCTCCCCACTATGAATATTGTGCTTCTATTTTTCTTGATGTCAACACAAATAACTCAAATATCCTAGAAAAACTTCAAAACAAAGCAATGAGAATTATATTAAAATGTCACTGGTTAACTCATAAAACAGAAATGTTGAATTTGCTTGGTTGGATCAGTGTAAAAAACAGAATAATTTTTAAATCACTCTGCTTCATTCATAATGTTACATCGACTGTAAATGATATATTTAAACCGTTCTATTCAAAAAATAGTGAGTTACATCAACATTACACTAGACAAGCTAGTTATTTTCATAAAAGCAGCCAATGCAATAGAGCAGGACAGAAGTCATTGTTTGTGTTTGGTTTGAAACTATACCAGGAAATAACTGATGGATTTGTTCAGCTGGACTACGAAAAATTCAAAAAAAAACTGCTTCAAACACTAAAGAATAACCAACTTATATAGTGAACATTTATTTTGTAAAGGGGATTATTTATTTTGTATAAGTTACTAAACTAGCATTAAGTTGCTAAATAAATAAAATAAAAAAATAAAAATAAAAAAATTGTTATCATAAATGTTTCATCAGAGATTAATTAAGGAGTAAAAAACTAGATCTCCATTTTGATTTGTTAGAATCACTATATTTGGATGATCAATAATGATAATTTTTTTTAGGAGTTTTTTTTTTTATTGTTTTTTTGTTATTCACCTCCTCAAGGCCGAGAAGACCACTACAGACGAGGAGGCTACTTAACAGTAGTTATAATCCTCTCTCAACTCTATAACTCCGAAACGCGAAACTTGACGAACAAGGCCGCTGCGCAGAGAAACAAGTTAAGCACGGTACTACTAGGGACGTGGTGGGGATCAAACTCGGAACCTCTCGCTTATGAAACAAGTGTTTTACTGCTTCACCACTACCGCATATAAGTTGTACAAAGTAACACTGAGAAAGATCTGGTTTAAATAATGCAAAATCTCTTGAAGTTTTTTAAAGCACTTGATCAAATTTTTGCAGTTTCTAATGACAACAGTGCTACAAATACAGACTGATTTAAAGAAACATTACTGTTTTAACAAGAATTCCAAAGAAGGCCACTGCTTTGTTTAAAGTGTTAAAATCCTATATACAAACTGCACATTATTCATGTGTACAAAGCAACAACAGGGATTATGGTATTATGGCTACTATTCAAGAAAACAAAGATAGTAAAGTCCTATCTGTTTTAGACTGATGAGGAGCTAGTAATTTAATCTGAAGAAAAACTGAAAGAATAGAGAAGAATGAAAAACAAAGCAGCAATCATTGATTTATGTAATGCCTTTCTCACGTTAAAAACTGAGAAGATACATGTTGCACCAATGAACATGAAATATGTTGTGAATATAGTTGTCGATCAAGACAAATTTGCATAGAGTACAATTTTCTTTTTTGTGGTCAATATTATTGTTGATTAGAATGTGGCTAGCTTTGATTGTTTCAAAACATATTCTAGAATTTTAGAGGTTAAAGAAGGTAAACAGAATGCATATGATGGTATTAGAGTATTATGATTGTGTGTTACTGAAGATGGTAATATTTTGGTTTAGAGGTAATCAATGAAAAATGATACAGTTAATGTTAGTTCCTTTTGGAAAAAGATTTTTTACTTGGACAAAGGGTTGGGACAATAATATTGTATGTGTTTTAGTGTAGATGATTTGAATTAATTTAAAAAATATTAAAATTAAAAAACTACCCAAATCAGATAAAAGTAGTATTGTGATTAAACAGGTACAGGCACACAGGTAAAGAAAAATTAAAGTAGGCAGACCAAGAGCAATAGTAATGAAGCTTTAAATTATAAGATAAGATACATGTTTTAACATGAGCAAATAAACTGAAAGGATCAGGGATATATATCAATGAGAAACTGCATTCATAAAAAAAATCATTAAAGGAAATAATGATGTATCAGAAAAATTGTTTTTATTTGTTATTTATGATAAATTAATAGTATAAGAATTTAGAAAATTTAGAGCTTAGAAAATTTAGAATTTAGAAAAAAGAATTTAGACAATCTATAAATTTTTTTTTAAGCTTTCAAAAATTTGTTTAAATCAATATTCTTGTCCCTTTGGATAAAGATATGAATTTTCATGAATAATGTTTCAAGTCTTCCTAAACAAAATAAAATATAATGCTAGAGAATCATTCATATGTTAAATTTTATATTAATTAAGAAATTCTAACAAAAGCCCTTCCTATTATTATTCTGATATTTCAAATCATACAGCTGATATAGATATTAACTTATTTTCCATTCTACGCCTAAACTTGAGAAGCTTGCAAAAAATCTTTAAGAAGAATCTTATTAATTTTCTCACAGACTTCTGATGTGTGGTCTCAAGCACCTGATTCTCACAGACTAAAATTATTTTTTTCACCAATATCTGGTGTTGAGACAAACAAGATGAAAGCAGTTCTAATTTTCATCTAAAAAACTATAAAGCTGTAATTACCTTGTAGCATCTTGATTAAATTAGGTGCTCCAAAGTAATAAGTCGAGCAGTTTGTATTTTTATCCATAACTCCTTAGTTTTTAAACCACTAGCCTAATCTTGCTTATTATTGTAGAGATTGTAAACCATCATTATTTTTTATCGTTATCTTCTTTTTTTCTAGGAACAAATGTTCAAGTTCAATTAACTTCTACAGTTATTGATGAAATTGCTACTTTAATTGGACCTGATTGGTACAGTTTTGGATGTCATGCTGGCATGGAGATTGAAGTCCTTAAAAACATTGAGCATGATAATAAAACTGCTTACGATAAAGCCTTGAGCATTTTAAATAAATGGATTAAAATTAATGGAGTTGTGAGATGGGAAGAGTTAAAAAGTTGTCTAGAAAAGTTTCAGAAAAATAATATAATAGTTGCTATTGAAAAAAAATTCGGAGATAGTTCAAGTAAGTGAATTCATCATATTTTATTTTTAATTAATATGGTTTTTTTCTTGTTATCTGTTTTTGTGAAAGTTAATCTGAAAAGTTTGTTTTATTGAGATAAATAAACAAATAATAAACATATTAAAAGATGTTTCACAGGTATGCGCACCAAAGATATCTTGAGAACTATAGATGTTTCATAAAGAAAATTGTAAATAAATGTTCTTTATATAAACTCATATAACTAGCAGATAAAGCATGTGATCATTAAATTCGGAACGATGAAAATTAAAAAAAATAATAATAATAATTAAACTAATGCAAAAACTTAAATATTTATATTAATCTAAGAAACTTGAAGGTTATAAAAATGCTTTTATTTTAATATTTTTCATTATTTCAAATAAATAAGCGAACATTTATGCTATTCGATGACATTGACTTTTACATTTCGTCACTCATAATTATGCAGCAATTAAATATTGTAAGCACTTTGTTATAAAGTTCAGGCTAAAGTTTTAGCAGTCTGTGATTGCTTATCTGATCCATTTGGATATTTAATGGCTCGAAAAGACTTGAAATTGTTAAATTTCTTAACTTTCATGACAAAAAACTCTGACACTTTATACCTTTTGCCTTATTCTCTGTTTGATAAGTGGGGATTTGGCGTGAATGATCGTTGATTACTAATTGCTGCTCTCTTATCCTTAAAGCCACTCTTTCTTTCAGATCATTTTGCTTGTTTAATAGATAGAGAGCTCTTGTATTGTTTCATGATCATATAAACAGTAGTTTTCTAGATTAAGATGCTTTAGCAATTGAATGTAACGATGCAGAAGGATTTTGTAGATTGTTGTTCAGAATTTTTTATTTCATTTCTTTTTCGATGACATTTTAATTAAGAGAAATATTTTGACTGGTTTTTTGATGTTTTCAATTATTACTATCATTACTTAATGTAATTTCACACAAAATAAAAATTTTAATGTGTTAACGAAAAGTTTCAAAACAAAATTCATTGTTCTAAATTTAACGATCGCATCCTTTATTCAAAAATTTGCATATAGAGCATTTTCAAAAAAGAAAAAAACCTAATAAAATATTTGTTTATAAAATATTTTCTTAACTATTTGGTTCAAACATCACAAAAAGTAACTATAATTGCTATAACAATTTGCATACATAAAATTAGGCTCAAACATAATGTCGAGCTTAACTTTGAAAAAAGAGCTTTCTTTTTTTTTCAAAAACATTCAAGTTTATTAAACAAGATTGTCATTAGTTTACATGGTAAACCTGCTGCTAACTTGGAAAGGTTAATTGAAAGGTTCTACCAGCTAACTTGGAAAGGTTGAAAAATTGAAAGGTTCTACTAACATGAGTCATCCTAACAATTAAAGCCAGATTTCCAGATAATAATGAAATTGTTACAAACTTGGAAGGTGATGACAAAAATGCTTTATAGTTATCTGAAGATGTACATGCATGGAATTGTATTGCAACAAACTTTTAGAAATATAATTCAAAGTAGCTCACTATTATTTTAAAAATTTTTCTATAAATATTAAAAATTTTCTTTTTACCAAATTTTATACTAAGAAAATATTATAAGAACAGAGTTTGTTACATGTTTAGTTTTAACATTTGTTGGTTACACTATACTGACATTCCAATTGGTTTTTTAAAACAAAAATCTGTAAAGTGCAACAAACAAATGAGAGTTGTTTTAGACAAGTTGTCCCTTAAGCGCGGTACTACCAGGAGTGTTCTGGGGATCATACTCACAACTTTTTCACTCTGCAACTACATTACTATCACATTCATATTTTTTTTTTTTTTAAATATCAATATTGCTTAGTTAAAAAAATACACAAAAAAAAAGTGTTTTTCTATTAGTTTTTTTTGAAATTTTATATTTCTATTTGCTTTTTTACGTAGGAAAAAACAAGTAATAGATTTTTTTTCTTTGTATATATTAGGTAGTGTTCATACTGCTACCCTGATTATGACAAACAACTGCTTTACTAAAACTAACTAATAACAACAAAATGTACTAAAAAATGCACCATAGGGCAACATTTGTGTTAAAGCAACTATTTGAAGTCACCTTCGGTCTCAATTTTAAAGTTTTTTGTACGTATAAATGCAAATATAAAACTTAACTAGCTCAAAATATTTAATAGCATCTTCATACTGACATAAAAAAAATATATATATATATATATGTTTGTGTGTGTGTGTGTGTGTGTGTGTGTGTGTGTGTGTGTGTGTGTGTGTGTGTGTGTGTGTATATATATATATTAAATATCTATGTATACAACTATTTATATTTAGTTTATAGGTTTGATGATAAATTAACATGGCACAGTTGGTTTCGCATTTTATCACAAAGTCAGAGGTGAGGGTTTGATTTGTTTGTTGGCAATGTTTATTTTTGAATTTTGTGACAGGTTTCATGTCTTAACTTTTATTATTATATATATATATATATATATATATATATATATATATATATATATATATATATATATATATATATATATATATATATATATATATATATATATATAAGTTCTCGTTCTCTGTAAAAGTTTAATATAGAATTAAATGTTAAAAAAAAAAATTCTTTTTTTTTTTAATCATGATATAAAAAATTGTAATAACATTAACAGATGAGAAAATAAAATACAGAAGTTATACCTCACAATTATTTAAATTAAATGATAAACATGATGTCATACAACCATCTTAGGGAATTTTTTTTATAATAAATGAGTCAGTTATATACATCTCATTAATTATACAAATTTATTATTTTAAATTACTTATTGTTTATAAAAATAACATGCAAATTCTCATAATGACCCGAGTTGCAATACCAAATGGTACTGTTGGTACCAAACATACCAACATAACCGATAACTTTTGATACTAATATCGCGTGATCGTGATATCGATACTGCAAGGTATCGCACCATACTGCAAGGTATCGCACCATACTGTAAAAAATTTTACTTAACGACTGCAATTCTAACAGTTATTAATATACTTATATTAATGCTTTTCTAATAAATCTAAATAAAATAGCAGTTATTAACTGCTATAAACTGCTTTTATAATTAACACGGGACCCTGAAGGTCACCTGAGACCTTATGTTGCATCCCATGAAATATTTTTTTTGAATTTGAAAGTAACCTACTTACACATTCTATAACTGTAAAAATTTAGATCATTTGTTGGTAGTTTTTTGAAAAAACTTTCTCAGAAGTTTTATAAATAACCATATTTTGGTACTAAAATAACATTTTCTCGTCAGCCATTATAGTTGTTCATTTTCTGTAATTGCAACAACACGATTGGTGATAGCATTATTTAGTGGTTTTTGATTGGCTAATAGTTGCTATCTATATAACATTGTTTTAAAAGCCTAAATATAATAACAGTGGCTATAACAATAAAATTGTGTTTTTATATGTAACTTTATATTTTTAATCTTTAGTTCTAGTTTTGTTATTACTAGTTCTAAATCAAGAAAAAAAATACTAAACTTTATTAAAAATCACAACTTATAAAATAGTTTGTATATTGTGTTTGAAAAAAGGAAACAGTTTAACTTAAATCATTATATTATTAACTTATAAAGATTAAATATTATTATAAATGTATACAGACAGACTATAGTAGAAGTACTGTGTTGAGCTGTGTTGATTTCTCGATCAACAAATTGTCCATTCAACACATTAGCAAACAAAGAAGAACAGATAGAGCAAAATCTTTAAAATCAGATTTTAAGAATAATATGCCTGAAATGGTGAGCGTTCACTGGAATGGGAAATTATTACTTGGAATGTGCGTAAGAAGTTCTAATGATGAATGTCTGGCAATTCTAATTTCATTTAGAGAAAAGGAACAACTGCTGGCTGTACCCAAACTGGAGAGCTCTTTTGGTCAAGATCAAGCTAAAGCTGTTTTAAACGCACTTTATTGTCAACATCTTTTGTACTTGTCAGAGGAAACTCTAATATAAGATTATTGTCAGAGGAAATATATAAATATATATATATATATATATATATATATATATATATATATATATATATATATATATATATATATATATATATATATATATATATAACACACACACACATATAAATATATACACGTGGTTTTATTGTAAGTAGAGATTTTAGTTGCTATAAAAGGGGTTTATAATAGTAATTTATTATAATATTGTATTATATTTTTATTTATGTTGAAAGTTGATATAGAATAAAAGATTAAATGTTCATTATTTGTTTACTATTTCGTAAGAATTATTACTGTTATATGCAATAATGTTGATGAGTTAGTTGCTACAGTTTTACAACATAAAACTTTTGCATCAGAGAATGTCAATGTTAAGGTTGGGGTAAATGGAGAGCTAAAAGTTATCTAAAAGTTAACTTAGAGCTAGATAAACATTTAAGTGAAAAGAATAGAGCAGAATATTCTGATAAGTATCGATGTAAAGTTTCAAAAAATTTGTTTCGAAATATGTATGAAAACACTATTGTTTTTATTTGTGAATAGGTATCAACATATATCTTGCCAGAGTGTCTTACTAAGATAGAATAAAATGCATATTTATCTGAACGAGCACAATAATTTTAAAGGTAAACATTTGAAAGTTTTGAGAGACTTGAGCAATTTGTTTGAAACAGTGAACACAAGCTACTAAAACTATTCAAACATTTATACAAAGTTTTAGAGATCATTACTCTTAAAGTTCATATAATGGAGCAGCATGCCAAAGTTAATTGGTAAAGAAGGAGAAAGGTTTGTAATTTTAAAAATTCAACGGTGAAGGTTTTAACTGTACTTCTAAAAACATTGTTCATAAATACTTTGAGTGAATGTTGAGGGTATTGGATTGAGCAATCATTGGAATCAGTTCATCAGGATATCAAACAGTTTTGGTAAACATGTAAGGGAAGCTGTCTGTGTGTACAACACCAGTTGCCTATAACTAAAAAACTATATATATATATATATATATATATATATATATATATATATATATATATATATATATATATATATATATATATATATATATATATATATATATATATATATATATATATATATATATGTTTATGTATATATATCAGAGTTGTTAACAAGGCCAAGAACAAGAGTTTAAGGCCAACGCCTACGTAAATATTTTCAAGGCCAAAGACTTAAATTCTTGCATTACGTTAATAAAGTAATTACGTAAAATAAAGAATGAAAACTTTTTTTAGTTTTATGTATTTTATTATAAAAGCCGAGGCCAAAACAATCAAGGCCAAGGCCAAAAGTTTCAAGGCCAAGGCCTTAATTTTTGGTCCAAAGCTTTAGGCTAAGACACTGTATTCCTGTAAAATTGCCTTAACTCCCTCAATAAAAAAACATAATAGGTCAAACGACCAAACAAATTATAATTGATATTTGATCCCCTTGCTATGGTCTGAAAGTGTGTCAAAAGAGTCTTCTCTTTAGTTAAAGCAAGTCTTGCAAGTAATTTTTCTCAAAAAGCTACCAACAAATAAATGGATAAATGCTAAACCAACCTATACAACAAAGTTGAAAATAAATAATTTATATTAAAAATGATTTATGCTGCAAACACAAATATACTATACTTAGATTTTTAAAGTGCATTGAACTGCAGTTACGCTTTTTTTTTTTTTTGGTTTAGTGGCTTTTGTTAAAACTTTCAAACTTTGCGTCTAATTATCTCATTTAATTTAAATTTTGGAATGTGCAAATGAACTGCTTTTGAAGTCAAAAAAAAAATCATGGGATAAAATACAAGGTCTTAGGTTACCTTCAGGGTACCCGTGTTATGTTAACATTTTATGCCGCTTTTAAATGTTGCAGCATAACTATTTTGGTTTAAACTTATGTTTATTGAAAATGCTTTAACATCATTTGTTGATTGTATTCATTTTTATTGTCTTATAACTTTCTTAATAGTTAATAAAAAATTGTTTTTCTTTTCTTTCAGCTTAAGACAAACGTACAAAAAAGCTGGTTCATATCGCTGGGATGAAAATAGATCATTTCATCGACGTGATGATACATCATTCCACTAACTCAATGATGTAAAAAAAATTGGTTATTTAAGGATGAAATATAGGTGATTACAATTTTTGAAATAAATGATATAATATTGAATTTAGATAGATAAATGGACGATTTTGTATCTGTTAAATCGTATAACTGGGTTTGACAAAGCACACCGGATAATCCAGTAATTCTAGTACCTGGTAAACCCAAGTATATTTAAGAAAGTCTGCGATTAAAGAAAGTTTGCAATGAAAGTAAATATTATATGAGTAAGCATCCTATGGAACCTATGTTTCAAGCTGTTTTACTGTGTACTCCTGAATACGATTTTAGCTCGCTTGATTTGATAACTGAATGTATCAACTAACGTTAATTATTCGAGTTTGTTGAAGGCAACTTATATGTTAGGTATTATACGTGTAATGTGTCAAGCTTAAGTAGATTGCGTTGAAAAAAATAGTTGTTCAGTTCACGTAGATTTACTGCCAAAAAAAAAACGATTTATTAAAAACTTTAATTTAATGCTGATTGGTGGAGATTTTAACGGTCAAAAATATGCAAAGTTTGTTGACTTAAAGGTGAGTTTCCACTTATCCATTTTTTCACGGGAACGAGATAGGAAAGGAAAAAATAATCACGTGAGCATGCGTAATTTTCCTTTCCCGTTCCCGTAAAAAAAACGGATAAGTGGAAACTCACCTTAACAACAAAAAGTATTTATTAGGAATTTCCTCAACATAAATGGAATCACTTATTATTTTTTAACATTGGCACTATGGTTTTTGGTTGGCATGAAAAGGGGGTTTTAAAAAATTGAAAAGATTTATTTTAAAGTGTCTGAAAGATGTGATCGTAAAAAAGAGGAATATCAACGATCTTTAGGGAAGTTATGTTCTTTGACAACATTAATAAACGTTAATTGACGGTTTACAACAGTTCTAATGTTTTGACCCCTGCTTTAAAGATGAGAGTTTTTAAATTAGTATTTTTTTTTTTTTTACGAGCAATTATTTTGTTTGTGTTAAATATGTTTTTATATTACAGATTGTTTTTTATTAAGAATTTTTTATTATAAATTTACTAGTTTAGTTTATCAACAATAAATTATAACATTACAATATACATTCAATATTTCATAATAAATAAGACGTATTAGTTTTTAAAAAGTAAATACTCTCGGTGCATTAAACACTGAAACGCGTTTACTTAAAACTTAAAATTACTTAAAACGTAAAAATGTTTGCAACTGTTCATATTGAATTATTTGTTTGAACTGTTTATATTAAATTCGTAATATCAAATAAGTGAAATGAATTTTAATTCACATTGTTTTGTAACGTAATATACTCAAAAATACGCGGGCAAATTGGAAGCAAGACCAACTGAATCGGGCATTTTTCCAGGTTGTTCCACGGCAAATAACGACGTAAAATTGCCAATAGAAGTTAAAAAAGTAAACCTTACTAATGTACTAATTGTAAACTACATTGTCCAGTAAAAAAAGCATTTCTTGATAGATTTATAGATTCATTCAGTAGCTAACCTTACCTAATAATTCGATAGAAATACACAATAAAATTGGGTATACTGTAAGTATACCCAATTTCCTTCTCTATTTTTTTTCCTCTCGTTTTCTATATATATTTGTGTGGGTGTGTTAGTGTGTGTTGATAGATTGAAGTTGATAGATCTTTTGGGACCTTCCCATTCGTTAGAATACTGTAATAAATTTTAGAGAGCTTCAAATGGAGATTGTTGTTATGAGAGTTTTTAGGGTGTTCAGTATAAGAAGTTTTTAGGAGTTCAGTGATTCCGCAGACTATTGATCTAAAAAGAGGCCCAGACTGTGTGTCATATTCCCGGGCGCAGACAATCCTAGCTACGCCTCTGCATGCACCAAAAGTTTTATACTCTTGTACTTAATTGATGTTTTGTTGGTTTTATATCAAGTCTAACTCTACTATATAAGAAAACTTACTCGTAAATGAAATAACATGTGATATCCTATGAAAGGAATTTCATTACGATCAGCTGCTATTTCTACTTGTAACTATTTTTTCATCATTTTTAACAAAATAACTCTTTAAAAACAAAAAATAATTTTATCATTTCCAAAATTAAAGACAAAATCGTAGTTCATGATTCTAAATATTCTTAGTTTATTAAATTTCGTACTTTAATACAGGAGTTGGGCTCAGGAGACTTTTAGAAAGCTTTGCCAGTGCCATTAACAAAAGTAAATATAATATTATACCTGTAATACTTGGTCCTAACCTCATTAATTTTCAAGAAGTTAAAAAAGGATTAAGGTGTTTAAATTTGTGATTTTTTTGAGCTTATAGTGTATGCAATTGTTAAGGTGATCAGAAATAGAACATGTCAAATATGATTTTATAAGTAACTTAAATTAGAAAAAATTGGTAATGATTGAAGCTGAGTAATCAGTAGTTCTAATTGGCAAAGTGAAGCAAATTTTAATTGACGAAAGTTATTTAAAATATTAAAATCGCAAAGTAAAAAAAAACAAGTTTATTTTCAGCATTTATTTTCTGAACTTGGTCAAGAAGAAATTAACAATAACATTTTTTAGTAACCCATTTTTCCACATAATCTTTCATAATTACTTTAATTCTGGAAAAGTACCCACTCTATGTAAATTAGTGAATATTAGTTTGGTTTAAAAAAAAGGGAGATAAATTATTGGCTGAAAACTATCGACCTATTCATTAAACCTCTGTTGCCTGCGAAATCTTTAAAAACTTTTTACGAACAAAATCTTAAAATATAATAATAATAAAATGTATTAAAATGCTCTCTGCGAATCAACATGGTTTTTTTCATCATAGACTATTTGTAACTAGTCTTATAGAGACATTAGTATTTCGACTTCTATCGCATCTTACCAGTTTAATGGCGTAATCTCAATTTCGTCTAAGCGTTTGATTTTGTACCTCAAAACAAACTTATGTTAAATTTAAAATTATTTGGAATAAACAACAAACAAAAAAAGGTTTAAATCAATGCCTACTAAAGAGCGTGAATTTGGAGTCATTTTTACATCTAACGTCAAGTGGAGCTCACCTATTCAAACAGTTATCTTTAAAGTCCGTTTAAGTTCTTAATATGTTAAAAAAGACATTCTTTTTCTATGATGAAAATATTGCTTTAAAGTCATATAAAGTATTTATAAGACAACATCTTTGGAGCGTCTATTTGGATTATTTTTTAAAAAACTGGTATAGCCTTTGGCTGGATTTGTTTAACGCATAGCAACAAAATATCCATCCAGCTTGAAACATCCTCATTGCTTCGAAAGACTAAGAAGATTACTAACGTATTTTATTCAAATAAAGATATTAATTTTTTATTTACAACAGTGAACAAGGAGCTTGTGAAACTAAGTGAATGGTTTATATCAAATAAATTGTCCATATATATTAAAAAAACAAAATATACTTTCTTCCATCGTCTTCATGATAAAGACAACATACCCTTACAACTTCCTAAGCTTTTTATTAATAACTCTTATGTCAAAAGAGAGAGTTCTTGGTTGTTTCTAGGCGTTGTTTTAGATGAAAACGTAACATGGAAGGAGCACATACGAATAATCCAAAATAAAATCTCGAAAAATATAGGCCTTTTATACAAAGCAAAACAGTTGTTGAACCAAACTTGTTTGAAACTTATTTACTTTTCTTTTATTCATTGCTATCTAAATTACGCTAACGTTGCTTAGTGCAGCACTAATGTATCTAAAAATAAAGGGCTTCTAATTAAACAAAAACACGCTCTAAGAATTATTGGAAATGTGAATCGCTTTTCGCACACTAAATTACTTTTTAATAAATTCAAAATACTTAACGTATTTCAACTTAACCTATATCATATTTTTACATTTATGTTCAAAGTAGATAATAAAATGGCACCCATTTTATTTAATTCATTTTTCGAAAAAATCATTTATACCCAACAAGATTTTCAAACAACAATTATATTCAACCAAAAAAATATTATTCTGCGACTAGGTTCTCGACAGCCATCAGAGGACCTAAATTATGGAACACCCTATTGGATAATGAGTTTAAACAAATTTCTTCCCTTGATCAATTTTAAAAAAAAATAAAAAGTAAACTTTTGATAATTGACAATGAGCTTGACTTCTTCTGAAACTTTTAAATAGGAGTAATCACTTGTTTTTTACTTGATATTTAATTTATTTTTAACTTATTAATTTTTGATTTTAATTTGAATCTTTACCTTCTTAAATTATCATGTTTTATCTAATTTTTATTTACTATTAAAATTTGAAATCCTAATTAAAAAAAAAACTAAAAAAAATATTTAATTTTAATGAAAAATATTTAGATATTTGTATTTATATATGTACCTTACGCATATATTATATTGTGATAACGGATTTTTTTGGTTTTTTGGTTTTTTGTTTTGTTTGTTACTTATATTCTTGTTTGAAGGGGCTAGACGATAAGACTGAATTTGTCTTCTTCTTGCCCCAGTCGTGTATATACAGTTTTTAAAATCTAATTTTGTAAATATTTTCTTTATGGCGAAATATATATTATATTAATATTAAATCTACCATTACTTGATTTTCGGCGCCTGCAGTGCGATCTAATTTAAAAAAAGTCTATGAAATTTATCTACAACTCATATATATATATATATATATATATATATATATATATATATATATATATATATATATATATATATATATATATATATATATATATATATATATATATATATATATACATATATATATATATATATATGTGTGTGTATATATATATATATATATATATATATATATATATATATATATATATATATATATATATATATATATATATATATATATATATATATTGGAACAAACAATCTGAGCAAATAACCTACTCAACTTCACTTTTCTATAAAAGCTAGACTAGATTCCTGGTAGCAGAAAAAATTCGGAACAAATCTTTTTAAAACTTGTTGTTTATAATGACCACCACTAAAAACACCACTGCTCGCTGCATATACATTATAAGTATAATCTACGGCAACAACTATAATAATAAGAATTATAAAATGCAACTTCGTAATTAGCAAACGCCTTTTTCTCAACGTAAAATAAATTTTTTATGCAGAGATAAAATATGTGGACATTATTTTAGACTTGCTCCTATTGTTATCAGTGATTATTGTATTAGAATAGTTTTATTCTACTTAAATAACATCATCTTTCAATTATAGTATTTTTTTTATTTTTACTTTTAACACGTACGAAAGACGAGTATACTCGTCGAACCAAAGTTTAGTATACTCGCTTGAGTTTAAATGCTGATTTATATTTATTTATTTTAGGTTTTATTTTCTAAAATTGCTTTTAAAGCTTAAATTAAACATCCATCAGTTAATTTTTACTTGGGAACATATATTTGTTAATATTTTATTTTATCTTTGATTTTATGTAAAAAGAGCACTTTTTACGGTTTTAATGAGTTTTTGATATCGTAACTATTCATACTGGAGGGTTTTTTTTTCAACTATTTTTTCATTGAAAAAATTACTGATTTAATGGTAGCATTTTTTTATAAGTATTATATATCATCTGTATCGCAGATGATATATAGTACTTATATGCCAAGCATCCTCGTAATTGAGAATCAAGATTTTTTTTTAATTTTAAATTTTATTTAGGTGCCCCAAGAAGTCCTCAAGGTCTTATCACAAAGTACCGCGGATGAGCATTTAATCGGAAGTTCACGCCCCCTTCCAAACCGATATCGCAAAACTTGCCCAGAGGTGGGGTGTTAACCACGGATCCTTTTTTTCTGAGGCAAGTGCACTACCACTGCCACACGCCTGCTCCTAATATTAATATAACATTAGTAGTACCTGATATTAAGATTAGGAACAGCGGCTAAAGAAATACTCTCTCGATAATAAAGAAATACTCTCTCCATAATAAATAAATACTCTCTCCATAATAAAAAAATACTCTCTCCATAATAATCTTGATCTGAATAAGAGTCTAG